ACATATACAACAAATCCAAGATTAAACTAAATATCATTTACAAACAGGGAACTAAAATCCAGAGACCCTAACACCCAATCCAGTGCTTCTTCTATGACATCATGAAATTAAGGAGTACCACCCATATCAGGGCATAAAGAAATAAAGAAAGAAACTAGTTGGGCCCCTATCATGTCATTATGCCCGATGCACTCTACACATACTAATTAATGACATTTACTCCTCTCAAAAACCTTGTGGGGCATGTTAATCTTATTATATAGATTAGGAATCTAAGGCTCATAGAAGTTATGCAAATTGCCCTTATATCTTCACTGATAAGATATAAGCCCATAATGTCTGTCCCAAAACTTGTGGCTTTCCTTTGAGCAAAGTGTGGAATGATAGAAATAAGTGGAGACTTCCAAGGAACAAAAAGGTATTGGGGGAAACTATGAGGTTGTAGGGGTATTGTGACAAGCTGTCCTTCATGTGACTTTCTGATGAACTTGTATTTCCTGAATTTTCCAAACATCTCCTTTTCTTGTCCTCTTTCCCAGTTTTTTTTTTTTTCTTCCTCTTGTGTCTTTTTAGTTCTCCTGGGCTTCTGCCTCAGAGCCATCCCAAAGCATCAGAAGAAGGAGGGCAAAATAAGGACCAAGAGAAGGGGAGGTGCAAAATAAAGGAGTCTCTCCTGGCTTGGGAGTGTTCTCTGGACTCTGAGAAAGAGAAAGTAGAGTTTCTGGAGCATCTTTCTTTGTCCCGATGCTTAAACTTATTTTACATGTACTCAATTTCTTTTCTAACTAACCTAGCCACCTCAGGAGAACCCTGATGAGTCAATGACATCTGAATAAAGTGAGTGGATTCTGTTACCTGCTGGTTCCTCTTAAAGTGATTAATTGGGCCATGTTTTCTTTACTTCACATGCATTCATCTTCTTACTCCTCTTATACCTAAAAAAAAACTTCAAACCCCTCAATATTGTCGACATCTGGTTCATTCTGCTAATGAACCAGATCAATATAAATTTTTTTATTTTTTCTTTTCATAGCTGGTTCTTTCTTTTTTCATATTTAGTTTGGTCTTTCGGTAGCCTTTCTGATCTTTCATTTTAGTCTACCCTTTCCATATTCTAGTAATCTTCATCTAATCTTCTCTCATTGAATCTATTATCTACATATCAAATTCATCCTACCCAAAAATTATACATTTTATTCATATAAATCCAACCTTCTTGTTCTTAATCCAACTTCCTCATGTTTTATCTGGTCCCTGCAGATCTACAATCAATGTAGTTTTTACTAACATCTCATTCCAACTCTATCATATTCTCTGGTAATCCACTTAAATGATCTATTCCTGATTATTTTCACCCAAATCCTTTTTCTATTCTGCCATCTCTGTTTTCCATTCCTGTTATCTGCAATTCATATGCTCTGACCATATTATACCTTTCACCATTTTCATCCATGCATGCATCTATACATCCATTATAATACCTTTATTAATTAGTAACTAAAGCAGAACTTATAATAGAAACTACTGTCAGTAGGAGAGATAGACATGCTAGTAAATAATCTCTTCTGTAGAAAAAATAATTTTGGAGAAGATAACCTCTAAGAGACTAAACACAAAGTAAAACGAAAAGATAAGTACAAATTCCCAGGAAGAGGGCAGATGTTTTAGCAGAAGTGTTTGTGCAAAGTCAAAGAGTTAGATAACATCATGACTTGCTTAGGAAAAGAAAAATAGTGAGAAATTACTAGATTGTTGCATAAAAATGAAAAGGAAACATATTTTGATGCTTTATTGGAGGATTTCCTATATATTCTCCAAAACTGGATGATCTTGTGGTCAGTTATTTCTTCATAGAAATATAACTCCAAAAACAAGTGAAGCTTATATGAATGAGGATTCAGTCTGGAGGAAGAAAACCCTGGTTTGATCCTATTGAAATAGCTAAATCAAGAAATAGCAAGGACTTGCTGTAAGAACTAGAAGGAAGTCAGTAGAAATAATACAAGAGAAAGATAGCAGACATGAGATAATTAGAGGCAGTTTAGATAGGACTTGGATTAGCTGTGTGTGGAGTGTGGGAAAGGAGGAGGATGGATATAAAATATCTAGGAAATTTTCAGATCCCTGACATAGGTGACTGCATGGAAGCTAATGCCATTCATCGTAATAGAGGTTTTAGGAAATTTTTTTAGACATAAAGTATTTAAGGAACCTATGTGAAATCGAGTAATTACGTCCACTACTTGCTCTGCCATTAAGGTATATGGGGCCACTTCAGCTACATAGTTCCTCCTTTACATCTACCGGGGAGACAGCAGCAGAGATGCAGAGAGTAAAATGATATACAGGCTTCCATGGTTCTAACGGTAATGTGAGGAATCTCATGAAACCTATGAAGTAGAAAGGAAAGAAAGAAGGGCAACTAATGTCTCTATGAGGAGATGCCGCATGAGCCAAGACTTGAAGGCTAAGTAGGAGTTAGCCATGTTCACAGAGCTTGCAACAAGAGCAAAGCTATGAGGTGATACACATGTTCCATGCTGAGAGTTTCAGGGAATAAAATACACGGTAGACTGCAGCAAGATATAAGATCTTTGTGAAAGCAGTGACTAATCATGAAGTAACAGTTAGGCCTTGTTAGATAGTTTGAACATTATTGCATAGATAAAGGGGCACAATGGACAAGTTTTAAATAGGGCAGTAAAATGGTCAGATTTAAGCTTTAGTGGTGAGACTATAAGCAAAGAGACTAATTAGGAGTCCATGTGTGAAAGGCTATTTTTTTTTTTTTTTAGTTGTACTGGGTAGTAAATATGAAGTTAGAAAATACTGAAGGTTAAGTAGGAAAACCTGAAGCCAAGAGGCTCAAAAGCACAATAAATGGTGTATGAGGCAGATATTGAAGAGAAAGGATTAAGGTTAAGATCATAAATGGCAATTTTAAGTTTGAGGTTCTCATTTATAAATGTATACACAAATGTGGTGTAGAGATAAGCATGGTAGCTCAAACTTTCATGGATCAGAAGATGAAGATATGTCACTACAACAAGATTATGAGCTCTGTAAAGACTCAATATATTTCTTATGAACATTTTATGTACCACAACTCAGCTCATAATCTAGAACATCATTAATTGGCCATAAATTTTGAAGTAAATAAAATCATGAGTGCAGATGGTAAGAATGGGAGTGATGGGAAATGCAAACCGGGGATATAGGCATGCTATGGTTGTATTATAGTACTCTAGTACCGAGAGAAACTTCAAGGGCTCAAGTATTGCTGAGTAATGTCCAAGTGCTGATGGCAGAGCGTAAAGAGAGGTGAAATAATGTATAAAGTCACTAGCAGGTTGAAGTTTGATTTGTGAGTACATTCTGCCCATGTTAATCTCATAGAACCATGTCTAAAACCAAAAGCTAAGAAATCTTCTGAGAGTAAACAGCTCCCAGATGGTCAGCTGACTCGACCCCATTCTCCTTTCTAATCTCTATACACCTTCCCCATTCTATAACCATACAAAGATGCAGGATAAAAAATAATCTTTTCTCCATATCAACTCCCATGTGAAAGTGCCAACTTCTATTCCACATGAGACCAAAAAAGCTTGAAGTTCTGAAAGGAAAAATTTTATCTTTGATACCAAGATAAACAAAAAGAGTAACTTACTAAATGTATGATTTTATATTGGTCCTGATGTTAAAGGAAGGTACTCTGCTTTCTTTCTGAGAACGTGAATAAAACTGTTAGAACTGAAAGTGGTTCTTCATCCTTCTGCCATCCAGTGTCTACTCCATAATCTGGTTTCCAGGTGAGTCCTTTGTATTCCTCTTAAATACTGGGTTCTGCAGGACTTTCATTCTACAGGTGCTGTGCACTTCTTGTGTTCTGCTTTGGTCTCTCTTCCTTGTGAGAGGGAACTGCTTCCCTAGCTTAGTTCCAAAGATTTCCTCTCCTGGATGTAAAATCCAGATGTTTCTTAAGCCTCTCCTTCATGTGTCTAAATGTTTTGGAAGCACTGAGGTCCTAATTTCCTGGTTCCACCTTTAACTATTTCTGCAACCCAAAACTAGTCACTTTTCTATGCTTCAGTTTCTTTAGGTGTTAAGTGAAGGCTGTTAATGGCACTAACAGGATTGTTATGAAGATCAAGTGAATGAACAGTGCAAACCTTTAGAAGAGTGCCTGCACTAATAACATACAGTGAATACTCAATTGTGTTATATATTATTGTTATTCCTCCATTGTGCAATTTATTTCCTCAAAACAGAGTTATGATCCAGTTCATAGATAAACTCTCACTTTAGGCCAGTCTAGAGACTTTATTTTGGTTTTATCTTATTTTTTTAAAATGCCATTAAAGTTTCTTTTAATTTTATTAAAAATGATTTGTTCCTCGTTCATGTGTCAATACTATGTATTTACATTACAAGTTTCCAATTTTTAAAAAAATTTGAATTCAAGGGGTACAAGTGTATGTTTGTTACATGAGTATATTGTGTACTTACTAGTGGAACTTTAGGTTCTGATGTAACCATTACCCAAACAGTGAACATTGTACCCAAGAGGTACTTTTTCAACCTTTGCCCCCTTTAATTCACTTCTCTTTTGGAGATCGCAAAGTCTATAATTTCCAACTTTATGTCCACGTGTACCCATTGTTTAGCTTCCACTAATAAGTGAGAACATGTGGTTTTTATTTATGTTCTTCGGAGACCAACTAGTATTGTTTTTACCTCATGATTCTCAATGCATGCTTCTCCAAAGACAGGAACAGATTCTTATCCTGTCCCCAATACTAAGCCACTTATTTTTGTCTATGTCTGTCTTAGCTCATCTCCAGATTAAGAAGACAGAAATGGCCTCAGCTCAGTGATTAATTATATGCACTTTATACATTGCATTCTACCAGTATAAACCCACCAAGAGAAAGGCTGGGTTCTTGTGTCTGCCTCCTGAAGACACACTTTTCTCACTGCCTGAAGAGTAGTAAACGAGACACATGGAGCAGAGGAATCATAGTGGGAGAGTGAGTGAGTTTGTGCTGCTGGACTTTCCAGCTCCTATGCCACTGCGAGCACTATTGTTTACCCTTTCACTGTTGGCCTATGTGTTGGTGCTAACTGAGAACATACTCATCATTACGGCTGTTAGAAACCATTCCAATCTCCACAAACCCATGTACTTCTTTCTGGCTAATATGTCCTTTCTGGAGATCTGGTATGTCACAGTCACTATTCCTAAGATGCTTGCTGGCTTTGTTGGGTCCAGACAGGGTCATGGACAGTTAATCTCCTTTGAGGGATGCATGACACAGCTCTACTTTTTCCTGGGTTTGGCTTGCACTGAGTGTGTCCTTCTCGCTGTTATGGCCTGTGATCGATATGTGGCTATCTGCCATCCCCTCCACTACCCTATCATTGTCAGTGGCCGACTGTGTGTGCAAATGGCAGTGGGCTCTTGGGCTGGAGGTTTTGGCATCTCCATGGCAAAAGTATTTGTAATTTCTCATCTTTCTTACTGTGGCCCCAACATTATTAATCACTTTTTCTGTGATGTCTCTCCACTGCTCAACCTCTCGTGCACTGACATGTCCACGGCAGAGCTTACAGATTTCGTTCTGGCCATTTTTATTCTGCTGGGGCCACTCTCTGACACTGGGGCCTCCTACATGGCCATTACTGGTGCTGTAATGCGTATTCCCTCAGCTGCTGGACGCCATAAGGCCTTTTCCACCTGTGCTTCTCATCTCACTGTTGTGATCATCTTCTATGCAGCCAGTATCTTCATCTATGCTCGGCCAAAGGCACTGTCAGCTTTTGACACTAACAAGCTTGTCTCTGTACTCTATGCTGTAATTGTACCACTGCTGAATCCCATCATTTACTGCTTGCGCAATCAAGAGGTCAAGCGAGCCCTATGTTGTACTCTGCACCTGTACCAGGACTAGGATGCTAACCCCAGGAAAGCCAGCAGGGATGGGTAGAAAAGATGTGTGAAGTCTGGTAAAATGCTGTTAAACTTGGGATTAACATCATTTATGAAGTCCAGTAGAGTTCTTAGAGCCTAAATAAAAGGCTAAAGTTTCAAAAACATTACCAAGATGTCATTAATTACCAAAATTAGTTACTTTGTTGCAACTAATCCAAGAGGAAGAAAACGATGGATTGCAGGCTAGAAGCTGAATTTCTGCAAGATAGGGTTGTAAAATACAGGCAGAGGTTGGTCCCATATTGTCTGTTTCATTGTAATTTACACAGACTTGTTTCCATTTTAAAAAAGCACAGCCTTCATTATAGAAAAGAAATATGAAACTTCTTGATGAGACCTCTTCCTTCATGTTTCACTGACTGTACCCTATAAGTTAGCAGAGATCCAGGAGGTGGTCATTCTGGTGGGAGTTACAAGGAAAGGAGGTAAGAAAATAAGAATTTTTGTGTTGGGAACATATCGCTTCCTGAATCACAGGGATTTCTAGCTTCATTGTTTAATTTACCAAGGTTAGTGTCCACATTCAACTGGTGGCTGAATGCAGTTGTTTGTTTAACTGTCTGTCTCCCTATTGGACTGTAAGCATCCTGGGAAAAAAAGGATCACATTTGCCCATCATTTTATTGCCATGGCCCAGAATAGTACCTAGCACAATGAAGGCTATGAATAAATATAATAAATTAATATAGTTTGGAATATGTGTGTCATGTCTAAATGTGGGGTGGGCAGCTGTAGGAGCTAAACTCCTCATACTTCACTAGGGTAGGGGGAGATACAAATTCATTCAGTCTTGTTGGAAGGAAATTTGACAATATGTATCACAAACACTAAAAATATTGAAACCATTCTGATTCAAAAGATTTGTGCCAATAGACATTTTTATTCATGATGACAAAAATTTGGAAATATGCTTAATATTCACAAACAGGGCACTGATGAAATAAATGGTTATCTCTTATGTTAAATGGAACACTATGCAGACATTAAATAACATGATCTAAACAGAGTTAATAACGAAAAAATATTTCTAATATAGTAAGTAAAACATTTGGTTATATAAGAGTATCAAGGCTGGGCTCAGTGGCTCAGCCTGTAATCCCAGCACTTTGGGAGGCTGAGGCTAGAGGAATGCCTGAGCCCACGGGTTCGAGACCCACCTGGGCAACTTGGCGAGACCTCGTCCCTACAATAAATCAAAAATTAGCTGAGCGTGGTAGCACACGCCTGTAGTTCCAGCTACTTGGAAGGGTGAGGTGGAAGAATCTCAATAGCCCAGTAGGTCGGGGCTGTGGTGGCCATGAGCGTGCCACTGCCCTCCAGCTTGGATGATAGAGTGAGACTCCAACTCAAAAAAAAAAAAAAGAGTATCAAAAGTATCAGACTTATTGGTTTGTGTATATCTCTGTTTAAAGAACTAGAAGGAATTTGACTAAAATGTTAGCTGTTGCTACACAATGGACCTCTTACTCTTATGAATTGTATTCTTTGGCAAAGCACTGCTATATTTATTTAAATAAATCTTTTTTAGCCAGTGGGATATACAACTTTATTCACCTGGACGGAGATTAAAAAATATATCAGTGTGATTTTCAGAAACTTAGCTCCCTGCTATCATCCAAGACCCAGAACTCTGAAGACAATGAAGACTCTAACTCCAGATGTAGGATCTAACTCCAGATGTAGGATCTAATAGTTGTCTGCTGCTTAATAAAATTTGTGAAAGACTACTAGTAAGGATGTCATGCATTATTTGCTAGTCCATACTTATTACAAATTATGATATAATATACATATTTATTTGTGACTAAAGAGTTTAAGACTAAATTATTGTTACAATAATTTTTTTTTAATGATTGGATATAAAGTTCATCAAAATTCTACCTCCCAACTGTCCCCATAAAATAAGTTCTGAAATAGCGTAGTTATCTTGGATGGGTGATTCCTTCTCTGGGCATCACTATTATATGAACTTCCCTTACAAGTTAACTCCAGTTAATAGAAAGTAAAAATATGATGTTGAATTTCTTCATTGTGTTTTCCTTTATTTTCCAATATTTTTACTGTAAAATTTTTTTGCTTTATTAAGTTTTAAAAAGAACACCTCTAATTCTGACTTCAAGATTTGAAACCAAACACTTCAAGTACTAGACAGTATTCATCAGTGTCCTGAATATATTCATCTTTTAATAATCAATGAATGAGTTTTATTCTGTGTTTACAATGGTGACATTGACATCTCTCTTTACTTGGACTGAATTTTAATAATCATGTGACCCTCATGACTCATCTTGAATTTGTGGTAATAAAACCCCTAAGATTTTTAAATTAAGTATTAATTACCAAATTAAGTGCTCCCTATACTTGATTGATGTATATGATGTTTCCCATAGACCTAGATATAAGACTTTATTTTATCCCTGTTCTATTTGATCCTGTTTGTTCTAGACCATCTTTTCTGAAAAAAATTATTTTATTTTAAAGATGTGGGATACAATTTAGGATTAGGTATACAAGTGTTCATCATACAGGTAAAGTTTGGGCCTACCTTTGGTTCCTACTTTGCCTGGTTTGAGATCAAGTACCTTATTAATGTTATATGCCCGCTCCCCACCCCTGGCAGTTTCCGGCTACTGCCAATCCCTTTCTTATAGTATTATGGTAAATGTTCAGGGTAAATTATGGTAAATGTTTCACTTACGAGTGAGAACATATGGTACTCAGTTCTTTGTTTCTGTGATAAATCACTGAGTATTATAGACTCTAAATCCATTCAAGTTGCTGTAAAGTCCATAATTTTGTTCTTTCTGACTGTGTAATATTTCATCGTGTACATGTACATTTTTTAGTCTAGTCCAGTTTCAAGGGACAGCTCCATGGGTTCCATGTTTTTGCTATTGTAAATAATGCTGCAATAAACATGCATGTACGGGTATCTTTTCTGTAGAGTGATTTAAGTTCCTCCGGGTATATTCCATGCCAAAAGAAAAAAAACAAACATCTCCATTAAAATTAGACAAAACACAAAAGAAGACATAACAGCAGCAAACAGACACATGAAAAAATGCTCAGCCTCACTAATAATCAGAGAAACGCAACTCAAAACCACACTGAGATACCACCTAACTCCAGTAAGAATGGCCATCATTAATAAAACAAAAACCAACAGATGCTGGTGAGGATGCTGAGAAAAGGGAACACTTCTACATCATTGATGGGAATACAAACTAGGTCAACCTCTATGGAAAAATATGTGGCGATTCCTAAGAACTAGAAATTGACCTTTCATACGATCTAGACCATCTTTATAATGTGCCAGTCTTTCAAAATATTGCTTAGATAATACAACTTTTTAATAATTCCCTTTGCTAAGGTGGTTTCTGAAGAAACCACTAGTCTCTTACATCAGTACAGGAGGTAGGAGTTCTGGATCCACCTGGGTCATTCATATAGGAGTGCTATTTCATGTGACCAGAGGCAATTAACTTCTACAGGTAAGTGAGGATCAATATAAATTACTTCTGTGCTCAAAATATCTAGTGGTTCCCACCAATGTTGAATAAGCTCAAGCAATGAGGGTCTGAGAAGATGAAAAACTCCAGGGCACTTAGTGGAAAAAGCTGTGAGAGGTCCTCTGTGAAACAGGCTGCTGACGTCCATGACAGCAAACACTGTGGGGTCCTTAACAGTGACAGCTACAGAGGATGTGCAGCAACTGTGAGGGCTGTTGTCCTCAGCAACAAAAATTGCTGGGCTCCCTCTGCCTGGTCGATACTAACAGACTCTATCATTCCTCCTTCCTAGACATCTACTGATGCCCATCTCACCAGTGTCCTACGTGGTGTGTAATAGAAGTAGGTCCCTCAGGAGTATTCTAAAATGGTGAGGAATATTGTCAAGCCATTTTATGAATGAACAAACATAAATAAAGATCATTTTTATAAGGTCAGTTGTCAAAATTGTAGTGATACCTCAACCAGAAACCGACACTTCTAATTGATAAACCAAAATTATTTACTATAATACTACTTCCAGACTATCTTTCTTACATTAGTCTGGACTTATACCTATTTGATGACATCTTTTCTAGCTTCCTCAGTCAGAAAGAATTTCTCTTTTCTTGAAGTTCTCAGAGCATTTTATCTGCAGCTCTTTTATGGCATATGTTACATTCCATCAATTATACTATGTTCTTCATACTTTACTTCCCACATAGTAAGTTCCCAGAAGACGATGATCTAGACCCACGTATTTTTATTCCAGAGAATTTATAGCATTGTGCCCTACACATAGTGAGAGATCAGTAAAAACAGGAAGCATGTTTTATTAAAGAATGAGAAAATGAATCTATTACCTTGAACACACTTGTAGTTCTTATCCTAGCTTCTGAATCATTTGATGTTACATCAGCTTACATAAAGAAACAAGTGAAAAAGACCACATCATACCCATAGTTATAAACATGCATGGTCCAATATTAAACAAGAGTTTCCATGTGAATAGAGATTCAGCTTCCCAGGTCTCCTGTACATAGTCTCAACAGTACACACCAAATTTCCCTAGAGCCAGGACAGACTGAGTGTAGGTTCAGCCCTGGGTATAAGACATGGGGGATAAAAGGAAGGCAAGTGCTAAATATGTTCTGTTCCTGCTTCTTTCTTCCTGCCTTAGAGCTACAGTATGCACCAAGCAGACTAAACAAGAATCATACATGGTTCTTTAGAGAGTATAAGAAACTGCAGACTGGTTTGCTTTCTCATAATCAGTGTACATTTCTGAAGAATTTTCTTTTCTCAGAGTAAGAACAGATGGACTATGATGAGTGACTGATTTCTGAAGAAAGTGCCAAGAAAGATGAGGAAGGACTTGGGAAAATGACCACAGGTAATATTCTTGAACAGAAGAAAGGGTATTCTGGAAAACAAAATGGGAAAGGAAGTTCCAATACATCTTTCCTCAAAATTGGGGAAATTTGGGCAGTTCTATATCTTCTGGGTGTTTGACAAGGGCACAAATAATACAATTTTTGTTCCAGAAGAAGTCTGTGAGAGTTGATGTCTCTTTAGTACAAACACATTGAGAACTATAAAAAATAAGCCCTATCACACAGTGAAAAAAATTTTCCCTCGAGTATCATAAAGATCTCTATCTTTCCACCTCTGTCTCTGACCTATTTCCTTATATTCCAAAGGTCCAAAGGATTTATTAATCTACTTGTTAATCTATATCCAATTAAAATTCATGTGTTTGCCAGGCACTGTCCTAGGCATTCTGTTCACAGTCATGAAGGATAAGGTCTTGAGTTTTGGTAGATTGCCATGTAGTGGGGAGAAATCTCAATGCGCGTGAACTGGGAAGCAAGTGCTGATGAGGCACTTAACTCAATTTTTGTAGATTTCTTCCAGGTGGAATTATGAATCTTGATTAAGCAGCTAAAGATTGAGGAAAGGGTGTAATAGAAAATGGGATGAGTGTATGCAAAGCCATGGCGGGGAGAGATTACAGTGATCTTAGGGAATAAAAACTAGTCAAGCATGTCTGGAGCATGAGGGTCACAAGAGATGAGACTTGAGAAATAAGCGGGGATCAAAATATGAAGTGCCTCCTATGTGTAATGAGTAAAACCTTTGCACTTTTATGTGAAGTCAGTCCAGGAGTCATTAAGGAAATTTCCAACAATTATAATACTTTTTAAATTTCCTCAAACTCTAATTTGAAGAAACTGGATCAAAACCCAGGGATCTTCCAAATAGCAAACTTTGTGAACTTTTTCTGACTCAATGCTATCTTCAATGTTTCCTTTCAGGAAGAAATAAATGTTTGTGCAGTGAATTCCTCATTAAACAGAGAACTGGAATAAACATGCAAAAGACAAACTGGTCTATGTTTATTGTCAAAGGAGCTACTAATGATGTAAATATTGACATTCAATCATTATTATCAGGTGAGTAAGGTTGGTGTGGAAGTGCGTCTTGATTCTGGAACACTTTCACTTAAAAAAAACTTTGATGAAGATGTGTGTTTCACGTTTGAAGAAGAATCTCTATTGACAAATTATTTTGTAAATCTCATTCATGGGGAAGACTGAATTATAACTTATTTCCATCTTTTGTCTGAGTCATAGTCATCTTCATTATTTGTAGCATTGCTGTAGAAAACTTCAGTATCTCTCCATTGTTTTTAGTCATGCTGGGACTAAACATCACTCTGATCAGTGAGTTCATTCTGGTGGGCTTTCCCACTGCCCCGTGGCTACAGGTACTACTCTTCTTCCTCTTCTTTATGATCTACCTGCTAGTGATAGTGGAGAATCTTGTTATCATGTTCACTGTTTGGGTCACTGGCTCCTTCCATAAGCCAATGTACTATTTCTTGAGTAGCATGTCCTTTCTGGAGGTCTGGTATGTTTCTGTCACAGTCCCCAAGATGCTGGATGGATTCCTCCTGCAGAGATGGCGCATTTCCTTTACAGGTTGCATGACCCAGATTTACTTCTTTATCTCACTTGCCTGCACAGAGTGTGTGCTCCTGGCAGCCATGGCCTATGACCGCTATGTGGCCATCTGCCACCCTTTTCAATACTCAATCATCATGACCACAGGTTATTGTGTGCAGCTGGTGGCTTTCTCCTACATGAGTGGTTTCATGGTCTCTGTCATCAAGGTCTATTTCATTTCACACGTTGCTTTCTGTGGCTCCAATGTTATGAACCACTTTTTTTGTGATATCTCACCAATCCTCAAACTGGCATGCAAAGACATGTCCACAGCTGAGCTAGTGGACTTTGCTATGGCTATTGTTATTCTCGTGTTCCCTCTCATAATCACTGTCCTGTCCTATATCTACATTGTCTCCGCCATTCTGCGTATACCCTCCACCTAGGGAAGGAAGAAGGCCTTCTCCACTTGTGCATCCCACCTCACTGTAGTTATAATTTACCACACAGCCATGATTTTCATGTATGTCCGGCCTAGAGCAATTGCGTCATTTAACTCCAACAAACTGATATCAGCTGTGTATGCAGTCCTCACACCCATGCTAAATCCATTCATCTACTGCCTAAGGAACCAGGAAGTCAAGAATGCTATCAAAAAGACCATGAGGGGTGGTAAGTGCCTTCTGCTCAGCTGAGCCCTGCTGCCTTGAGGAGATGACAGTGTCCCATCCAGGATGTCATCCCCTTGACAATTATCATGATCCTATTTATTATTAACATTGCTCTATAGACCTGGCTTATTAAAGAAATCACAACATGGGAAAAGCAAAAAAAAAAAAAAAATTAAAAGATAAACAGGATACTTGATACTTGTTTTAATCATAGACTCATTAGTATTCACTGTAGGTACTTCATAAGTACCTTGAAATAATGACAATAAATATTTGACATGTATAATTTGTTGTTCTTAGCATATTATGCATAATAAACCATTTTATTCATGTAACAGTTATGAGTTACAGTCAATTGATATTGCAGATCAGAAAAGTAAAGCACAAAGAAGGTAAATATGTTGTCTAAGATTTCACATCTAATTTATATCAAAGTCATTATTTGAGCCCACAGTGTCTGGCTCTAGAATTCACTATATTTAATTTTCTCTACATCTAAAAATCTGTAAAACTCTAGAGGCACATTAATTATCATTGATGTCTGGAAGGAACAAGAAATCTAATAGTTAAGGTATGTATAGGTATAATGATAACTGATAATTGTGTTGTCATGGTGGTGATAGTGGCAGCTGTGATTGCTTTGAGTGAGTGATGATGGACTACTATTGGTATTAATAATAATGTTAATCATTTCATAATCCTCTTGCAATTTTTGCTTCCTGCTACGACCATACCAGGTCATTTCTCATCACAAGAATGAAATCAACAGTTTCATGAGAGAGGAAAGAATTGATATTACTGCAATGTTTTGAAATGAAATGACTGCAATGTCTTGAAACACTTTTATTTTTGGAACTCTTGAATTTTTGTGGCCCTTCATACTATATCATGACTAGCCTTAGCAAACAAGCAGATTATTATTACATCAATATATGTTTGAGTTGAAACACTCAGTAAATCATTATAACATAGCTCTACATACAAATTAGGTAAAAAGCAAGTGCAAAATTTTCTAAGACAAATGACTGTTAGAAATTTTTGAAGCATCTGCTGGCTAGATAAGAAAATGTAGGATACTAGAGAAATTTTTACAGAAATTTTTATTAAATTGAGACTAAATATGCCCAAAATCATCAGGAAAATCTACTCTGACCCTTTTAAATCTAAAAGGGGTTTCTCATTTTAATCTAAGATTGGTTTAATTTAAACTAAGTCACCTTCAAAGTTATTCACTGTACCCAAACTAATAGTCCATATATATATCTGTTATGCTATTACTCCACTGACAAAGAGTTCTTGATTTGAATTAAGCAGGGCATATTTATTTTGACATTATTCTGACATTCACACATCTTAAAAATATTTTATTTCCTCTCTGACTGTACCAACCTTGTATTTTACTTATCCCCAAATAAAACATCCATTCTCATGGTATTAGTTACTTTAATGTACTCAATAATTATAACATAAACTCTTGCCTTGATTAACCTATTTACCCATTCACTGAGTATTTTTTTTTCAGCCCTATTTCATGCCAGGAACTAGAGATAGTCTGTAAGAATGTAATGGTGAACAAAGCAGGTAGACACACATTCTTCCTCTCAATAGTTTAGAGCTGAGAAGGGAAGATAAAGGCACATTATCTTATGTGCTATAAGTGTGATGATACAAGAGAAAGGATGCCATGACAGCAAATGGTAGGTAGGTAGCTATAATAGTCAGAGAAAATGTTGCAGTGGAATTAACATTTAGGCTAACATTTGAAGCAACTAGACAGATGAAAAATGGTGGGTAGCAGTGAGGGCCAGGGGTAGTGGGGAGAGGAAAGGTTAAGAATCAAGAAAGATAGCATCACACTCAAAGAATTGAAAGATAGGCAACCACTTCGGGCCCCCTCCACTGTGGGAGCTTTTCTGTCCTCTCAATAAATCCTGCTTTAAAAAAAGAAAAAGAAAGATAATTAACACAAAGGGAGCATAAAGGAGCATGAAGAAGAAAAGTTTCACATGAGAAAGTAGATTAATCTTTACCAATAAAAAATCTTACAATTTGTGAGTTTTCTCTTAGTAAAAACATCCATGGGTAGACAATAAATTCTATAAAGGCATTTTCACTTTCTGCAACTATTATATTTTCAATTGTTGCACTTCCACCAGTGAATGGTAGGCACTGATAGGGAGAAAGCAGGAAAACAAGGTAAGCTGACAATATCCGGCTTCAGTATTGCAGCACTTTTTCATTCTGAATAACCGATAGCAGTTTATATGTTTGACTTTCCCACTACATTGCGAGTTCTTCTAGAGTAGGAACTAACTTTATTCATCTTTGTACCTACAACAGCTGCCATCGTACCTGATGTTACAGGTACTTGTGCTAGTTATTTTCTAACTCTCATCCCTAGCCCAGTTTTCTATTCTATGCACTCCTGCATCCTTTTGCATACCTTATCTTTGAGGAGAGACAATTTGATTAGATGGACTGTATCAACCTGGCACTGTTGGCTACTAGCTTCTAGTTTGGTTGGGCCAGTGAGAGACACTAGTAGGAAATTGAAGGTTACAAAGAAAGAGAAGACAAGGGATTTCTTTCCTGACTGGGTTCCGTGACTCTGGTAATGACGACAACTCTTGCAACCGAGTCACTACTTCCAAGGCTATAGGTGTCACTGGGGTTTTGCATTGCTTTATGGCTCAATATCTCTGGTGGGTTGGTTTTACCCTGCCTGACTTCTATGAGTAGTTGTGACACTTAATGTAACCCAAAAAGTTCAGCAGAAATTGCCTTCTGTTTCTTGCTGACTGATATGGCGTTTGATAAGTATTATTCAAATAGAAGCAAATTGTAGTGTAAATGTCCAGAATAAATACGCCACTTTAAAAAATTCAGGTGTGTTTTTATTTTTTGCTTTATTTATTTATTTTTATTTCAATAGCTTTAGTAGTTTTTGGTTACATAAACGTATTATACCTGGGGGATCCCCCAAAATGGAATTTATTTCTTAAAAACTGTGTATTTCTTTTCACGTGTTTAAACTTCAGTCACTTTCAGAGTACTCTCCATTTGTTGCAGTAAACTTATTCACTTTTTCCACTACTCAAAACAGTTTTTGAACTCATCAATTTTGATACCTTTTACAGCATCTGCCATTTTTTGTTTCACCTCTTCCACATCAGCAAAACGTTTCCCTTTGAGAACTTTTTTCATTTGGAAACAACAAAAAAAGGCACTCAGGGTGAGATTGGGTGAATAGGGAGTGAATAAATGGAGGGTGGAGTATGGGATCATGCCGTTTGGGGTCAAAAACTGCTGAACCCTGTGTGAGATGTGAGTAGGTGAACTGTCGTGGTAGAAGAACCTGTCACCTGTTTGCTAAGACTCAGGATGTTTCTTCTGCAAATGGTGATGCAACCTTATCAAACCTTCCAGATAAAAACTTTGGTCCGGAAGAACAAATTCCATGTATACTACAAAGTGCCTGCCCTCCAAAAGATAATTCCATTTTTGGAGGGGTTCCCCCTCTTATAGTAATGAAGAAGTCCGGCCTTTAGGTGTACCCATCACCCCCACTAGTGCACATTTTACCTAACAGGTGATTTTTCATCTCATTCCCTTCCCCCACTCTCCCTTCTGAGTCTCCAGTATTCATTATATCATCCTATATACTTGGACAGACCCATAACTTAGATTCCACTTATGAGTGAGAACAAGCAGCATTTGGAGGTGTTTATATTTTTAAATTAATGACATAAAATAAACCTCATTTCTACTTAAGGATGATATATGACAAAATTGGAGTAAAATATAAAACTATTTGTTCCACATTTAAATTTCAAGTATTTCTCCATAAATAACTTTTAATTTTTTTCCATCCGCATGGTGTCACTGCCAATTGAATTGATCCTGAGATATCTGAGCTAATAGAGTCAGCAGGTTTAAACTCAGGTGTTAAATATATTATGTCCAGTTTCTCTGCTGTGTATTTTAAGACTATGTGCCACTAGGAAGCACTGAGTTTATCCAGAATTAGTTCTAATAAGTTTGCTACCTAGGGAACTGCTACTCTGCATTTTCCCTTCTAGATTGCTCTATCTCTCTTATCAGAGTAAATCAGACTAAATTTAGGATCTGAGGGAAGAATTTCCCCAATATATTTTCCTGGGTGCTTCTAATTCACTCACTCAGATTCACTGTCTTCTAGTAAACAACACATTCTAACTTTTAAAACTGCCTCATTGAGAAGTTAGTAAGTCATTAAGTGGGAAAATATTGGAAAAGTGGAAAGTTTTGGAGGCAAATAATTAGCTTAAGACTCTGGTAGCAGTTGTTCGCTTTGTGTCTTTTGTAGGTTATTAGAACGTCAGTTTCTTTGGGCTTCAGTTTTCTCATTTGTAAAATGGGGGTCATTATAGCTGCATTCAAAAATTGGTATGAAGATTAAATTAAAATGAATATATAGTAAGCATCTGGCACAGTGCTTGACACATATTATTCTAAGTGATTTAACAAAATAGATAACAGGATTGTTCACAGAATCTTTAAATGTCAACTCAAATCCCAAGTCTTCTATGGTGCTTTTTTTTCCCTTTTTTCCAGTTTCCAGCTTATTCTGATTTATCCCCTCACCAATCAAGAAGAAACAATTTTTAGCTATGCTTAATTCCTGTTCAGTGTGACAATCTCTTGGCTATAATGCTCTTCCAGATTCTGCCTTGTACTATACTATAATGTTTCAAATATATATATTATTTCTCATTTTTAGAGTACGTTTCTTATATCATATTCATCTATTTGTGACTCACTTCCTAAAAATTATCTCTACCTATTATGCATTCAATGGTCAATAAATATCTGATAAATAATTCCTTATCTTAATGTACACAATACTTTTAATCTATAGTCACAGTTCCCATATTTTTTCAAATACTTTGATCTAGTTCCAATTGTAAATGCTCTGTTGTCTTTAACTAATCCAATTTTTAATTACATGACTAAGGCAAATATCATGGATTAGATCCTCATATCTG